CTGGAGGCTACATAGCCAGGAAATGCAGGGCCAGAAGCCCACGCCACTGACCTCATGGGACCGTTCAAGTTAAAACACAGCTACCACCATAGCCCCCCCTCTGGGTAGAAGCTCCACCACACCCACCCTGGCATAAACAGGCACCTCCACCTCTGCCACACTTGCCATAGTGTCAGTCTCCTTCAGGGAACAGCTGCCTCACACTGCCCACGTGTCCCCTCACGTCTTATGCAGCACATCTGATTGGTGGGAGTTAGGTCCCATGCTGCAGGGAAGCCTGGGAAGTGTGTCTGTCTGCTTTTTGGGAAGAAAGGACACAATGTAGGCCAGTGTCACAATGTGGAGAGAGAAGAGCTGCAGAGTTTCTTTGCCTGTTCTCAAAAGGGCCTCATGAAGTCTTGATCATCTGAAGGCTTCTGAGGATCAGCCAAGGTGTCCAGCAGAAGCAATGACGCCAAGGAGTGGCCATGACACCCTACCATCCCCAGGCAAGACAGGAGGAACAAAACAGGTGACACCATGAGACACACCCCTAAGCCACCCACCAGGGGTTGTGGCAGGCAGAATTTTGTCCCCATTCCCTCTATGATCTCCACTCCTGTGGTTGTTAGATGGCAAGGGGGACTTGGCCAACATAACTAAGGTCACCCACCAGTTCACCTTCTAACAGGGAGATTATCCCAGATGATCTTGGTGGGCCCAGTGTAATCACATGAGCCCTGAAAAGCAGGAGAGGAAGGCAGTGAAGTGCCAAAACAACCCCAAGCACCTTCGTTGGACTTAGAGATGGGGCCTCATGAGGGGAAGCCAAATTCTACCAACAACGAGGGAGCCTGGAAGAGGGCCTGGAGCCCAGGGCAGAAGTACAGCCCCAAGGACACCTTGACTGCAGCTTGGTGGGACCCTGAGCAGAGAATCAGCCGTGCCTCGCCAGACTGCTGACCTACAGAACTGTGAGGTGACATATGTGTGTTGTTTTAAGCCACTAAGATGGTGGTAGTTCATTATGCAGCAGTAAAAAACTGAGACAAAAGTGTCATCCCCAATTCTCGTTGAGCAACTCTGAGCTCACACAGCCACAAAGTGAATGGTGGGGCCAATGCCTGAGCACAGGTCCGTCTGACTCTGGAGCCCCTGCCGTCCCCTTCCCACTCGGCCTGTCTGGACAAGGAAACTGTGGCACTGGAGGCTGAGGCATTGTCAGTGCCAACTCCACAGTACCACAGCCCAGAGAAGGCAGGAGCAGGCTGTGGGCCCACCTCTTGCTCTGTCTTTATGCGTTCACTGGGCCCAAAACAGCCCCCTCAGTGCTTGGAGTCAGGGCATCATCTCCCAGAGTCTTAGGTCAAAAGGTGCCAGCCTCTCAGAGCAGACCTCACCCAGGTGTGGTCAGGCTCCAGGCTGCTCATTACTGCGTGGAGAGAGGAGACCCGGAAGGCAAGCCCTGGAGAGAGGCCCAGCAGTCCTCTGGCAGCCTGCAGCTGCTAGGAAGAGCCGCTAAGTGCGGGACCAGGACCAAGGGACCCTAACAGTACGAAGAGGATTCCTGGGGCAGAGGGGAGGGGGGCAACCACTGGCCACGGAGACCCTCTGGTCCTGCAGGACTCCACTTCCATGTCCTAACTTCTCCAGGTCCGAGGACACAGTTGTCCCATGGGCCAGATCAGACACAAAAATAAATCAAAGATGTATTAAGTTTGGTTGACACGGTGCTTTAAAAAAAATTCTAATCCAAATGTTTGAAATTGTGAGGTTTCACATTAAAAGCCAGATTTCCAGCCTTTCCTGAAAAAATCAGAAGCTCTGGCCACCTTGTGCCCATTTTCCCCTATGGCAGCCCAGGCTGGAGCTGAGTGGCTGCCATGCCCTCGGATGGGGCATGAGCTTTGGAGTGCCACAGGCCCTGTTGCCCACCTTGTGCTCTCCTCACCTGCCTACCTGGCCCCTCCAAACACTCGAGTCCCAGTCCCTTAGGCCCAACTTTACCCTATGACCTTACTCTTTTGCCCCTGCCCCACCCAGTCCTGGGGGTACTGGGAGAGGGGCACAGACTGGTGATGTTAGCAGGGTTGGGAGAAACAGAAGTTGGGGGCATTCAGATAGAAACTCAGAGACCTCTTCCAAACGCATTTTTTGTGGACAGCTGTTCCCAGCGATTGGTTTGGCTAAGATTTCATCAAGAGCCAAACCCCTCCCTGATTTCTCGTGTGTACTTAATGCCCTTTACAGGCACCCACACCCATTTTCTCTGCCCTCATGAGCCCAAATGTTCCTTGGTGCCTAATGGGACAGCTACATTTGACCAAAAGGGCAACTGAGGGAGAAATGGCCCTCCCCTTCTTCCCCATGCTCCCCTGGGGGCAGCTACCTACATCCACAGGGCCCTCTGGGGAGGCCCAGCTCCCACCGCCACCACCACCAGGGCCACCTCTGAGAAGAACCAAAACCTACTTTGTCTTTAGCCCCCTGGCCTTCCAGGAAAAGGCCCTGTAACCGGTCCAGAGGCAATACTTGCCCCCATCATTGTGAGCTGAGACGCTGGCGCTGCAATGGAAGAGACAAGAAATAAGTAGCAAACGGGGCAGGGAGGTGGAAAAATTAAATTTTGCGTGATCAGCAAGGTTTCAAACAATCGCTCGCCAACTGAAGTGGGTGCCACATCTATAAGTCATTCTGTTTTATAGACCATTAGGATCTCCAGAGAGAACCTGCATGGAGACCACTGCTTTTTGTTGAAATTAAAATGTCAGAGAAAAAGAAATAGAACAAAACAGGGAATCTGCAATTAATTACCAGGCCATAAAAATTCAATAATCAGGAGGCAGAGCGGCCGCGGGCCCAGAGGTATCAGAGCCAGCGTAACAAGAATGGAATACATTAATCTTTTCAAATTAGTTTTTTAATCTGACCGGGATATATGGTGACAGGCCTTCCCTCCCCACCCGCTCCCAACCTCCTTGGGCTCCAGCCTGAAGCCAGGCTGGGTTAGGGAGGTTCTAGGGTGTGCTGGGGGCCTGCCCAAGCCTGGACCACCAGACAGGGGGATAGCGAGGGTCTGCAGCCCCTGCTGAGCGCAGGACTATCCATCAGTTGGCCTGGTGGAGGGGCCCCAGCAGAGATGCCAGGAAAGAACTTCCTAGGAGCCTGGTTCCTGCTGGGCCCCAGTGTCAGAACAGCTCACAGGTGTGTTTCAAGAAAGCAGGAGCAGGGCCTGGGGAGTGAGCGCAGAGAGGTGGTCTCTGAGGTTTGGTTTCCTTCTTGGGAAAATGGGATTACTATCAGTGCCACAGGGACGCTGGGTACAGTGCCTGCTGCTCAGTAAAAGGTCCTCAACTGCTACTTTTTTTGCTGGCTAGACGGGCACTTCCAGCACATTACTCAGAGAGCATTTATTAGCACCTGCTGTGTGCTCAGCTCTGGAGAAGGAGAAACCTGCCTCCTCAGTCCTTCCCCTCGCGAGTGAGACTCACAGTCGGGTCCGAAGAACACTGACAGGCCAAGTAGGACGCAGAGGATCAAAGCAAGGGAAGAACCTTCTCCCTGTAGCAAGGTCGCCCGCCTGGCAACAGGAAACTGGAAGGAGCTGGGGAGGCCCAGGTAGGCCCACTCAGAACACAGGCCCAACCGGAGGACAGCAGGCTCCTCCCTCGCTGCTGATTTCAGCCCCCCACGTCCAATTCAAGGCCTTGCCCTCCGCTGCCAAAAACCTCCCCCGGGAGCTGGGCCTTCTCCTGCGTCGCCTCCCCAAGCCCAGGATTCCTGCGGCTCAGGTCAGTCCGGGGCTCCCAGTCTCTCCACTCCCTCTCATCTTCAGCCTCAGCCAAGCCGCTTTGTCACTGACATCACCCAGAGCAAGCCTGCCTCTGGGCCTTGCTCGCGCTCAGCCTCCCTCGGGGAAGCCCCACGGTGGAGCTCTAGTCTGGCCAGCGTGGTTACCAAACAGGCTGCTCGAGCAGCTACCCCAGGGGACTGCCACAGCAGCGGCCGGATGACCTTCTGCCCTTTGGACTTTGACTCCTCTTAAACGTAGGAGAGCCCACTAAGTGCCGGGCCATGTGTAAATCCTTCTCCTGATTTTCTCACTTCATCCACTGGAAGGTCAAGACTATTAACCCCATTTTACAGAATAGGAAATTGGGAAGCTGGGGTTGCTCACCAGCTCTGTGTCCTGCGGCCTTTGAACGCAGCTTCACTAAGAACACTAAGCCAGGACAGTGTCTTTCCCCGCCCGCAGTTTAAGAGTAGGTGGTGTTCAATCAGTGCTTGCTGGATAGCGTCCCTGCAGGGCAGCCCCACAAGGGGCCTCACTTGCCCTGATCTCTTTCCTCTACAAGATGTCTTCACTGAATCCTATGATCGTAAACAGTAGCTGCCATTTATTGAGCACCTACTTGTGTGCGAGGCTGTGGGATCTGGTGCCCTTTACAGTAAGACTGTGGTCCCTCACTTTACACAGAGGAAACTGAGGCTCAGAGGAACTGATGGGCCCAGACCTCACACTCATGTCTATCTGGCACCAAGGGCAAGATTCTAAGGACGCTGTCTCAACGCCCCATCGACCAGACCTGGCCCAGGGCTCCTGAGCCCCACCTGTATTCGTGTCCCCCAAAATCAAGTCCTTCACTCCTTCAACCTGACACCCTTGGTCCCTCCACCAAGAGGCCTCCCCTGATTCCTCCTGGGGTTCCTTTAAATTTCTTTCACTTTGTATTCCTTACTATCCTGTTATACTAATGGCCCACCCACCGAGATATGCCCGAGGGTCTCAGAAGAAATGGTAGCGATGAGGAAGAAGCATAGGCGGGTAGCGCATCAAATATTTCCTCCCTAACCCAGGCCCCTAGACCGCAGGCTTCTTCTGGAGGAGATCCTAGACCCCAGATGCAGGGCTTAGTCCCCGCAGGGCGCAGTTCCAAGCTCGGCCACCAGGCGGCGCCCGACTCGCTCGAGCAGGGCTTGCAGTAAGACTGTGTGGCCGCGAGATGGCAATCGAGGCCGCGGCTCCGCAGGCAGTGCCTGAACAAGGCGGAGCCTGGAGGGTCCACGGGTCCCAGTAGCCCCAGCACAAGTGACTTGGACGCCGCCGCCTCCTGCCCGCACTATGACCCAGCCCGTGCCCCGGCTCTCTCTACCCGCCGCGCTGGCCCTGGGCTCGGCCGCGCTGGGCGCCGCCTTCGCCACTGGGCTCTTCCTGGGTGAGTAGGGCCAGGCCTGCGGCACCCTCCGCAGAGACCGCCGCGGGCAGGGGCGGGCGCGGGAGCGGCGCCCGTGAATCCACGAGGCTGGCTGCGGCCGAAGCGCAGCCCTAGCGCCCTGGAGTCCCAGGCCCTGAGCCAGCACCCTCTCCCCGGCAGGGCGACGGTGCCCTCCGTGGCTATCCCGGCGAGAGAAGCGCCTGCTGCCGCCTGAGGACAGCCCCCTGTGGCAGTATCTGCTGAGCCGCTCCATGCGGGAGCACCCGGCACTGCGGAGCCTGCGGCTGGTCAGCAGGGCCGGGCGAACCCCACGTGCTCTCGTGTGACCTTGGGCCGGTGGCGGCGGTCTAGGTTTCCGGGCTTCTCAGACCTACGGGGCGCGGTGGGAGTTCCCTGAAGCCGGTCCCCGCCCACCACCAGGCCACGCCCACAGTCCGCGCTGGGGATCTGAGCCTGGGGCTCGCCTGAGTGACTGGCAGAGCTGATGAGACCCTCTCCACACACAGCTGACCCTGGAGCAGCCGCAGGGGGATTCCATGATGACCTGTGAACAGGCCCAGCTTCTGGCCAACCTGGCGCGGCTCATCAAGGCCAAGAAGGCGCTGGACCTGGGTAGGGCGCGGCCAGGATCACTAGGGGACAGTCACCGGGCTAGCCTCCCCCTCCACTCTGGCCTGAGCCTGACCCTGACCGTGTCCCTGTCTTCAGGCACTTTCACAGGCTACTCAGCCCTAGCGTTGGCCCTGGCGCTGCCCCCAGCCGGGCGCGTGGTTACCTGCGAGGTGAACGCAGGGCCACCGGAGCTGGGGAGGCCCCTGTGGAGGCAGGTGAGTGTCCCACACACCTAAGGCCCTATCAGGCCCCTGGAGCCCCGTACTCCCAGTTCCACAAGGGATATGCTGGCTCTGACCCCACTCGGTCCACAGGCTGAGGAGGAGCATAAGATCGACCTTCGGTTGAAGCCCGCCCTGGAGACCCTGGGTGAGCAATGGAGCAGAAAGAGCTTTGACACCCTTTCCCAAATGGGGCCACGGGGCCCAAGCTAGTGACAGGTCCGCCAGACAAGCTTGGGTCAACCTCAACCCAGTCCCCCACTACCGGGTTGCATGGTATGCAGCCACATGCAGGGTGGCAGGGCCGGCGCCCTTAAGGCCACCAGAGGCCCTGAGTGGTCCCAGTGCCTGAGCCAGCCTGGACAGGGGCTTCCAGCAGCTGAGGCCTGCAGACGTAGCAGCATCTGCCCCTCCCTCCCCCGCAAGATGAGCTCCTGGCCGCTGATGAGGCCGGCACATACGACATGGCCGTGGTGGACGCAGACAAGGAGAACTGTGCTGCCTACTATGAGCGGTGCCTGCAGCTGCTGCGACCTGGAGGTGTCCTCGCTGTCCTCAACGTAAGCAGTAAAGAAAGGACTCCCTAGGGCTAGGTCCCCATCTTCTACCCTGGCTCTGCCCTGAGCCCCGTCCAGTGTACTCCCATAAACTCCGACTCAAGCCCATGCGCCAGGCTCTCCTGCTCTAGTCCTGCCCAGCCTGCTCAGGCACCTCCCTCTGAGGCCTGGCCCTCCGTAATGCCCCGCCCCACAGGTCCTGTGGCGTGGGGAGGTGCTGCAGGCCCAACCGCGGGATACAGCGGCACAGTGCGTGCGAAACCTGAATGAGCGCATCTTGCGGGACGCCAGGGTCCACATCAGCCTCCTGCCACTGGGCGATGGCCTCACATTAGCCTTCAAGATCTAAGGTCCCTACCTAGCTAGTGGCCTCCAGGGAGGGGACCTCAGAACCCCCTGCCGTTGACCCTGTTTTAAATCCTACAATAAAGTGGGGCCTGATTTCACAATCTTCTGAGACTCCATAGTCACAAGCAAAGTGGGATACTGGGAAGTGGAATAGGGAAGGAAAGCCCAGCACTGACTAGGGCAGCTCTTCAGCAAAAAAGGATCCTTGAGGTCAGGCATTCATCTCCCTGGCACACTGCTGAGGGTCGCCGGACACCAAGGCTGTGGCCAAACCACAACAGCCTCCAGCTGACTGGAGGCAGGATATAACATCTGAATTGACCTAGCCACATGCCACTGGTCAGAGACCCCCAGCAACTCAGGTTTGCCTCCGCTCCACAGACGCTGGTGTGGAGCTCTCCTTGTTCTCCCTCCTCTCTTCCTCAGAGGGGCAAGTGAATGAAGTTCCTATAAAGCTGGGACTGGTGGGTAGACCTTATCTGGGACCTGAAAACAGGAAAGAGGCCTTGCGAGGGGCCCAGGGTTGCCCCTTCTGTAGGTTATGCCAGTTCTGCTGGCCATTTGCCTGTTTTCACAGAACTGTCAGCTCAGCCTCACCTCTGCAGTGGAGGCCCTGGTCAGTGGACACCACCTCTGAGAATCAGGCCACTTGGCTTAGCCCTGAAGACTTCAATGTTGACTTAAGTATGTATCTGTTCTCCCCCTGACACCCTGGAGGAAAGTGAGGGACCAGGTAGGATCATTGGTCAGAGAGATGTGAAGCAGACAGGCCTATAATACAGTAAACGACCATCAGTACAGCAATTTTTAACAAGCTTCCCAGAGGAAGATGAAGGGAAAGTTAGGCTTTCCAGCACCAACATCTATGAGCAGAGATGGAAAGGGAGCCAGGTGCTTCACTTCTTTTGTTTACATCTCCCCAGTGCCACAGATCTTATCTCCAGTCCACAAGTGAATACCAGGCTCAGATCTATTTTCTTTACACTAACACATGTCAGACAGAAGTGGCATCAGCCTATAATACACTTAGGTTTTGCCACCACCTGGTTAGGCCTCAGTGGTGTACACCTGAAAGCTGGTACATCCAGGGTCACAAGAGCCCACTGCTGGTGCCTTTAATAATCCTACAGCTCCACTGTAAACTTACCCTTCTCTCCCATTCACGAAAGCTTAAGATGCACACGGGTGAGTAGGTCCACTTTACTGTAAATAGGTCCCTGACAAACTGGTAACTCACTCGTGCCACACCATACGGTCACACCCCTAGTCCAAAGTATTGGACCTGTTGAACCCCAGCCACAGCATGAGGGTGGGCCACCAGTAGCTGAAGGGCAGCAGCCATCCAGAGGGGTTCAGATGCCCCCAGTCCTATGAGCAGTCTCCTCCCTGCTGAGCACCCCAGCAGCCTGAGTCTGCCACTCTACTTCGCACTTCTCTCATCTATCCCAAACACACGTGAGGTGCTTCACACCTAGTGTGCACAGACATCTTCCTGTTTTTCCTCTTACCTAGCAAGAGGCCCTGACTCAAACTGGTTCCAGGTCCAACTTTCTGCTATCAAGCATGTGCGTGTTGTTCACGTGGGCCATTCCAGCCAGTCCCTTAGACCAGAGACACCAAAATACGTGAAATTTTGTTAGGCTTTCTCATCTCATCAGGTTCTTCTGACCTGGAAATGTTCAGAATGTGTCACTTTTTGAGCAATGGGCCTTAAGGTATACCACATTTTCTTACTTGTTCTCAGGTTTCAAACTGTATCTCGGGTCTAACATTACAAATCTGTTGAATAGATCTCCTTCTCTAACCTTTGATCATATCCTTCAAACTATCTCTTCCCATCAAAAAAGTTGCTCTGCTTTCCCAACTGGAAATCACCTGTTTATTTCTATCACTCAGCCCAAGTTCAGGTGAAGGTTAATGGCCACAAAGACTGAAGGCATTGCCTCTGGTCTCAAATGTAAGCCCAAACTTTTCACTGTCTGACTAGACAGAAATGAGTGATGACCTCTCCCTGGGCCTGTATAATCCCCTCACAATCCCTCTGGCTAGTGACATTGTCTATACACCTTACTCCATTTCCCTACATCTAGGCCCATTCCACCTATTAGGGCCTGGCTCATTTCCCATTGCAGCAGCCTGCAGGGTGACATGTATACTTTTAACTTTCACACCATCCCTTCATTTAACTAACTTAATTGCTTACTCTCCAGTGCAACCTGAGGTTAACAATTCAGTGATGTTGCACAAACTTACAAACTGAAGATATAAAGGCATGTATCCTCTTACTGTAGTCTAAAAAGCTCATCAGAGTTGCTGTAAGGACACAGAGGACTTTGTGGCACAGATTCAGGTAAAAGGCAAAATGCTCAGCTAGATACCAGAGAGATTCTACCTTAGCTGGCAAATTTCTAACTCTGCAAATACTTGGGACTCACTAATTACATATACTTGTTTATTCATAATCTGTAATGCTTAGGAATATGAAAAGTACTTCTAACCATGGTTGAATTCAACTAAATTTTTTTAACCTCCTCTTAAAAGTTCCACTGATCCATCTCATTCAATGGCAAAATTCCATGTTAAAAGGAACATAAAAACAAACATGCACACAACCACACAGTTTTCATAAAGGTCTATTTCATTATTGGTGGGTAGCAGATTTAACAGTTAAATACATTTAAATAATGTATAGGTGACTGCAAGACTGCAGCATTGGTAACTAGATAACCAATTCAACTAGAAACCAGCTAACAAGTAACTGTCTAAATATTTAAAATACAGCTCTTGTTTAGATCATCCTTTGTTCTGATCACCTTCTTTGTGGGAGGAAAGCCTGCTGGTCATACTGGAAATAATATTAAGGCCAAATCTTTCAGACATCCATTTCCAGAGGTTTCTTTTGGCTAGATTAAGCCTCCAACTCCAGGGCAAGCCCAAGCTTGTGGCCTCCAGCATTAATGCTCTTCCCATCTACCAGCGCAGACAGTGTAAGCTTCACACCTGTAAACAAGAGGACAACCACGACATGCCTGAAACACTGCATGAGAGTCTACAGTCTTTAATAATCACCCCAGAGCCCGCCTGTCACTTTTCTTCAAAACTGATCTACCAGAGACAGCCACCAGAGGGCACTTGGGAGTGTCTGAGATACCACAGAGAATGTTGGCACTGTCCTTGGTAAACCAAGTCAAGAGCTTAAAAATGTTAATAAAGTTCAAAGTGTTCTAGAAAATACAATAATGTTCAATGATACACTGTCCAAACTAAAAGAAAATCATAACTGGATTCTGGAAAGGAAAAACTACAATAAAGAGAGACATGGGGACATCTTAATATATACACTACACATCGGTATTCAACTAATGTTAACTGACTTAGCTGTGACAATGGTATTGTAATAATGAACAAAGTCTTACTCTTAGGAAATACATGCCAGGGGTGATGTATCTACAGATCTGCAAAATATACATGTAAGTAATTCATAAGGGCACGTGGAGAAAAAAAGGATTATGCATGAAAACGTGGTAAATGGTAGTAATTGGTGAATAAGGTCTATGGGTGTTCATGGTACCATTCCTTTCTTTAGGTTTCAAGATAGTCAAAAGTAACAACTCTGGGGAAAAATACATATTTTGAAGAGGAAAAAGTCCCAGGTGCTTTAGAACGTTGCTATTCAAATGGTGGTTCAAAAACCAGTGACATTGACATCACAGACGAGCCTGTTAGAAAGACAGAACCCCTCCCTTATTTCAGATCAGTGGGATCAGAATCTGCATCTTCACAAGATTCTCCAGATTATTCATGCACACACTTAAGTTTGAGAAGAAAACACAGCAAGGCTCAAAATATGTATAATCTCAAAATGAGATTATACAGACTAAACCACCAAAGCAATGAGTGAACTATAACTGTAGATAGGAATATTACAAGACATTTTAGGTACAAGTGAGGAAAGTGAATAGAGAATGGGTATTAAATAGTAATATGGTATCACTGATAACTTTCTTAGGTGGAATGTTTTGTGATTATGCAGAACAGTAAAAGGTTCTTATTCTGAGGAGATGCATGCTGAATATTTAGGGAAGTGTCATGAGATAGCTGCAACTTCCAAACAACCTAGCAAAGACAAAAAAAGCAGAGGAATACATACGAAACTGTGACAAAAGGTAAACGTGTTCAATGTACTCTTCTGTGTGCTTACAAAATGTCAAGATATTTTGTAAACCATAAAAAGACAAAGTCAAAGTAACAAAGTACTATTCCCCACAGAATAACAAAGTAACAAATTCTATTACTCCCCTATATTTGCAAAATAAGCTGAGAAGTGCAAACTAGTTAAAAGACTATCAGAACAATCCTATTATCAGGAATACTTACCAGGCCTCAGTGTCTGAGTATAGCCCACTCCAATTAAACTAGAATTGTTGACTTTTGCCTAAAATGCAGAAACAACTGTAAGAAACATTTCCAAGTGGAGATAAAGCCCCTGCAGGTTTCCCTGTCATACAATCATGAAGTGTCCAGCTTCTTTATTCACATGTGAGCTAATAAAATTTAGTAGTTATTAAGCCAAACAAAAGCCAGGTACCACTTAATTCTTAGCCATTAAACTCAAAAACCATATTGTCACAGGACACAACACTCTTATCTACCTTATCTACTGGGATGTGTCTACAGACTCCAAACTGTCCGTGTGGTACAAAAGCCTAAGCAGCTCTCATAAAAATCGTCCTTGCTGAGTCTAATCTAGCACAGTAAAACCATGCCCAAATGTGACTAATAGAAAGTCCACCAGGTTCACTGGCTGTGGCACACACCAGCCTCACAGTGTGGTATGTCAAGTTTAAATTTATGATTCAGTCACACACATTACTACTTTCAGGGATCTCCCTAAAGATTCAGAACCATGAATGTTCCAAATCTCCAAATGACAAGCACTTCCCCCGAAGAAACAGATCGACTAAAAATCCTTTACCTCACATTCTCAATTTTAGTTAATGCCCGTGGGTCCGGGCTCTATGTAACTAGACCATGCCTTAGAAGTTCCAATGCGGCGGCTTTTACCAATCCAGGCCTTGCCCTCCTTGCAAAACTCTATTACCTAAGTATTTAGTCACAGACTTCAAGAGCTGAAAGGGACTCCAGAGAGCAAAACATGGTAAAGAAAAGTGCTATTCTCTCCCACTACTATCATTAAGCCACACCAGGTGCCTATGGCTGTAAATGGGGCACCTTAACAAATCTCCAGGGCCTAAGCTGTCTAGCTAGGTAACCGCTCTTCAGCATTTTGGGTGCTATGGTAGTAAAAAAGGTACCATATAGCCTCTGGGTTCAAAATAGATTTGGAAATGATGTGATGTCTACACTCCTTAATGTGTAAAATCAAAACAGCCCAACCCAGAGAGAAAAATGATGTAACCACAGGCAAAAGTCACATAAACGGTATACAAATTCACTTGACACTACTGCCAAGTCTTCATGAGCCACCAATAATATGAGTTATTTGTCTAAGGAAGAAATGCCAAACTAGTGACCATCTTGTGCCCAACAAACTAATAGTCTAACACTGGATATAAACTCCAATTATTTTAGAATAGGAGTCAACCATGAAATTGTGATGGAGTAATGCTCAACTGGGACAATGCAGCACTACTTAGGTGGGAAATGCTGGATAATCCCCACGAGTCACTCAATGGCTCACAGGCCCCAAGATGCCTTTCCATTTTAGGCTATGAGAGCTGCATCTTCAGTTGGCATTATATCTGTGCTGGTGTCACAGACATACATTTGAAAAGCAGAACAAAGGAGCTACCAGAGAACAGTGCTGTGTGACTCCTAAGGTCTTAGTTGCTGCAGTGCAGTTAGAAATAGAAGGGAAAAACAAATGTATTACTGCCTTGCCAATGGGAAAAGCTTTCTGGGTGCTACTCCTTCTCGCTGATTACAATTATGCTAAGGTCAAACAAGAATGGGGCTAAATTCAACTGCCTAAATTATCAAGACATACAGTTCTCAAGAATGAAGATCACTTTATGTAGCAGAAGTAACTCTCATCATAGGTTTAACTTTCTTTCATTCCCAGTATAGTCCAGCACAAACTGACACACAAACAGCTGGCTCATCTGCCTGAAACTGAAGCCAGCCCCTTTATACCTTTATACCACACTGCACTCCCTACCTCAACCCACTATGACTGAGGGAAGGAATACCAAAAAGAGCCTAAGGACAGGACTAGGGTGGTTGGTCAGCAGACCCAGCTAACCCTGGATGGGTGGGGGCAGGAGGGAGGGAGTCTTTGGGATGCAGGAATTAGTGCTAAAGCCGGCATAGTCCCAGGCAAAGCAGGATGAGCTACATGGTTAGCCTGTTTAAGGGGGAACTCAAGACATGCAGTCTTGTCCTGGACTACCCCGTCTTCCCTCTCTCCTTAGCAGTGCTAAGTCCTCTCTTTCTCCTAGCTTTGGTTTCTTTATGTGCAAAATGGCAAGTGTACCACTGACCTCTCAGATCAAATATGAAGATATTTTGTAAACCATAAAAAGACAAAGTCAAAGTAACAAAGTACTATTCCTCACAGAATGACAAAGTAACAAAGTGCTATTACTCCCCAACAAGAACTACCCAGGACCCAAAACACTGGCTTCCCAGGGCCTAAATATCAAACTTCTCTAACACTGTCTTCAGTGATAAGGCAGCATTCCAAATTCTAATCCCACCTGTGTATAAACTAGGGATTGTGTGAACCACAGGTCAAGTTTTCAACACAATTCAATATACTCGAAGACTAATGATACCCACAACCAAAACCCCATCCTAAGCCCATAGCAATACTCACAGAAATGGAAGCAGTAGGGTCCAACTGATACTTAGCTGCAATGCCAAAGCGAGTGCAATTGGTACCTGATGTCCAAGCAAGGTTTACTGAAGTGTCAAGATCTTCACATACTTTTTGATAGATTGATCCTCCAAATTCTGTCCCATCATTGCTTTAAGATATTTTAAATTGGTAAAATTTAGAATAGTCAATGTAATAACATCTTAGGCACTAGGCTGATGATGCAGCATTAGTTCTAAATAAAAACAACTGTTCATATGGGTCTCTAATGTTCTACTGAAAACCTGAGGAAGTTGTAAAGGCTGTTTTCCCAGCCTATATCCAAAAACAAGGACTGGTCAAATACGTCATGTTACGTCCACAGAGCAGAATTACCATACTAATAATCACATTGCAGCATATGTAATGCTACAGGAAAACGGCCAACATGTATTAAAGTAGGGGGAAAGGGGTATAAACCAGACTTTTCAGTATTATTTTATACATACATACACATACAAAAAAAACGAAACACCAAAACATTTAACAATTAACAAAAATTATATATTTAGGTGGGGAAATTATGGGTTTCTTCTTTGTACTTGTGTTACACAGAATTCACTATTTTTATAAGGCAAAAATATTCTTTCTAAGTCTCTCCCACATGTATTTGGGTTAGGTAAAAACACCATATATTGTAGGCAATTATATCAAATTAGCACCTTGCACATCATAGACAATTATGTCAAATGAACACACTGGTAGAGTTTGGCAATGTCTTAGCCTCTTCCAAAAATCAAAAGCATACCAAGCCTCATATGAAATGAACAACTCACTCTCAGCACCAAGTCAGACCAACATTTTTTTTACAAAAGTATCACTGATATACAGTCTTATGTTGGTTTCGAATATACACCGTTACAATAGTTACCCTTATTATTAAATCCTCCAAACCAACATTTTTTTACTATACACTTTTGAGAAGCACCCTAGGTAATGCCCAAAGACAATCTTTTTACATTAGGAGAAATCATCTAGGTTGTACCTAGATTCAGAGAGATGACAGGAGGTATCAATATCACCCAAAAGTCCTACATAATATCCCACAGAAAAAAAATACTTACACATTAGTGTGTAGCTGGAAGTCTCCAGTTCTATAGCCAACAGCAAAGTTATTCCTTGTCAGCTTTGATTTGGCACTGTCAAAGGTCATCTGGTACCCAGCAAGCCAGCCCTCATAACCAAAGACAGCTGAACCATGGATTGCAGGCCCAGCAAAATCAAAGTCAACATCACAACCAAGGTTTATACACTCCCTCTTGTAAGAAGACTTGATTTTACCACTTTTCTTTCTGGAAAAAGAATAAACTGACTTAAAACTGACACCACAGGGAAAAACTTAAACATGTAACTTCTGCACAGA